TCATCTTTTGCTCTGGTTAAATCAATCACAATAAATTCCCAACCCTGTAAATTTTTATCAAGTATATCAACAACATTATGCCAATTTTTTGTATATTGTCTAGCAATATTAACTAGCTCATCATAGGTACCACTGCCATTAAAGAGAACAATATAATCGAGATTTTTTCTTATTAATTTTGGACAGTCAAAGAAGGATTGTGTAGTATATATATTACTAATGTTTTTATGGCGTCCTTCGGTAAAATAACGAGCAATTTTTTCTTGTATTTTTTTAGGTTCGGTATATACATCTTCAAATATAGCTACTGTTCCTCTTTCAGGAGAGAAGTCATCAACTTTTGGCATTTTGTCAGGTTTCAATGCTCAGAATGTAATATCTTTACGATATGGTTTGGGACTATTTGCAATAATTTTATAACAATCACGCAAATGACTATATTTCGGCTCCTTGAGGTGATATCCGATCAAAACCAAATCATCATTTTTAATATATCTCGTTCCACCTTTCTTTCCACTAAATATTCGAAACATCTTATCCCCAAGTAAAAGACTAATAATCATATTAGTTTTCCCCGATCTAGTTCGCCCTGATACTAATAAGTTGAAAGGCCACTGCGGTGTTGAATTAAGGCCATTAAATCTTTCTATATTTTTGTATTCGTCAATATTAAGTACGAATATTTCATATGGATCAAGCTTTTCTATTTTCATATCAATCAAGCTAAGTAACTATTTATTATTTCAAAAAAATAATGACTCAGATTACTATTCCTAAACATATATATACATTGATTTTGTTTATTTCTTTTGATTTATAAATTAAATATTACATAGCGAATATAAAATGGCCGAACTTCGTGAACAACTTTCAGAATTTATAGGTTTCAAACCTGATGAGATTCATTTTCCAGAAACAGAGAGAGACCAACAACTATTTCGAAAAATTATTGCAGATCAAAGAATGGCAACAAATATTGTGATAGATGATTTTCATTTCTTGCTCCGTACTGGATATAATGGTAAAGGAGGTCAATTAATACAGTACATATTGGGTGGTTAATATGTGTAATACGAAAAGAATATGAAAAGGTTTTGTTAAATAACCCTCATGATATTACTAATAAAATCATAAGGCATCTCCAATATAAATTCAAAGATATTCCATTGGCACCTATAGTAAGGTATCCCAATATCCCATCGCAATTGGATTCAGAGTATGATATTATTTAATGACATGGTATCAATTATCGTGTTCATTAATTTCGCTATTTTGTAGATAACCTTTTTCAATAAGAGAATTTTTAATAAAAGGATATAAATCGGCAGAGTATGGTATTTCAATAAGATCTATACCTTCTCAATCACATATCTCTCGCTTTTTTTGGTCTCGTGCCCTTTGCTCTTCCAAATCTATCCTTCCTCGCTTATGGAACATTGCATTCTGATGAAAATGTTGAGATCCTTGATACTCCCATGCCAGTTTTAGTTCCTCATTATACCCATCAAGCCTCAGCCCATCCAAGAACTTTGGTGCACATGGTGGGAATTTCTTACCTAGTAGATCCTCGAATATGTATCTACAATTGCGCTTGCGAGTATGGGGACATATGGGGCACCACTCAAATTTATGCTTCTGGGTCTTATAAGGTGCATCCCACTAATGAAGTCCATTTTTGCATGACCAGAGATATATATTCATATCATTCATTTGGCCGGTTCTCCCTAAGATAGTTCCACCACGTTTTTCGGCAAATCGTTGTACTTCATCAAATTCATTATTAGAAACACGAATAAAATGTATCGATCCAGAGGGGTGATATTTTTGTATAAATTTATCAGGTGGATACTCAACTTTTTCAGGATTCTCGATTACTTGGAGTTCTTCTCGCTTGAATGGCCTATGTGGATTTCTACCCATCAAACAAGCAGTAGATTCAATTGGCTCATCTTCTAGATAATATAAAACTGGTTGTGGTGGATTCTTACCAACAATAACTTTTGCAATTTTATAGATACGTAAACTCCAGTATGGGTCAGTTTTCCGATGCATGTGCTCTCCTTCTAATTTGCCCGGTTTTAATAAATATCTTATAGTCGTTTCTTTCTGTAATCGCGATTCATCCTTCCCAATAGGTCTTTTAGATTTTGTGGATATTTTAGGTATCACTTCTCGCAATGTCATCGCATATGATGGAGGCATGCCTATTAATCGTGTTTTATTATTATTCATATAATCGATAATTTTCTGAAGTATTTTGTTCCATAATTTTGAGCGTTCACCTTCTTTGAGTTTT